GTGTCCCCTGCATCGGCAGGCGGACTCTCAACCACTGCGCCACCAAGGAAGCCCTAAAAACATTTTTCAAATGAGATGAGAGTCACAATGTACTAGAGTGGATAAGGATACAGGCTCTGGGTCAGACTGCCCACAAATAAATTCTGACTGATTCATTCACTAACTTTATGGCCTTTGTAAGTTACTTAACTTCATTGTGCCTTAGTTTCCTCAAACTGATATAGAGATAATAATACAGTACCTATACAGGGATATTGCTTGCTCTACAGATGAAATAATGAGATGGGAAGACACTAAGGGTGCTTAGAACAGTGTCTGGCACAAAATAAATATTTTCGTTAGTTGTTTTTTGTTTGTTTGTTTGTTTTTATTTTTTGACCATGCCATGTGGCTTACAGGATCTTAGTTCCCCAATCAGGGATGGAACCCGTGCCCCCTGCAATGGAAGCATGGAGTCCTAACCACTGGACCGCCAGGGAATTCCCTTTTGTTAGTTGTTTGTTTGTTTGTTTTGCGGTACGCGGGCCTCTCACTGTTGTGGCCTCTCCCGTTTCAGAGCACAGGCTCTGGACGCGCAGGCTCAGCAGCCATGGCTCACGGGCCCAGCCGTTCCGCGGCATGTGGGATCTTCCCGGACCGGGGCACGAACCCGTGTCCCCTGCATCGGCAGGCGGACTCTCAACCACTGCGCCACCAGGGAAGCCCCTTGTTAGTTGTTTTTAACCTTAAGTATTGATATGATGTAAGCTACATAATATGTGGAAAACACAAAGTGCAGAATAATACGTACAGTATCCTATCATTTATGTAATGGATATATAAGTATAGAATGTTCTGGAAGGAAGGTCAACTTAAGTGATAATGGCTGCTTAGGGTAGGAGGGATCTGGGGACCCAGGGGGTCAGGGGAGAGATAGAGAATGACTTTATATGTGTTCCCTTTTTCACTACTTAATTTTTCTTACTATTGTATGTATTAACTTTGTTTTAACTTTTTGCACTAACTTTAAAAAAATAACTTTAAAAAAGTATTCAAGAGGAGTGAGGGATTGGACACTGACAGGAAAATAAGTAAAGGACGTTATCAGTTTACTGCTGATAAAAGCTAGACAATGTCTGGTTTGAGTAGGTTCTTAAAATGAACTTTAGTTGAATGATGAAGTTAAGAAAACAAATGGCCTATAAGAATATGAAAAAATCCCACATCTGTAAGATAAAATATATATATATGAAACTAAAATAATGAGATTGTAAATTTCATATATTAATTCAGGAAAACAATAAAAATGATAAACACTAGTTTAGTGCAGGTAAACAAGCACTATTGTAAATGGAAACACTAGTTTAGTGCAGGTAAACAAGCACTATTGTAAATGGAAACATTTTCTGGAAAATGATTTGCAATATATACTAACAGTGTTACAATACAACCTACTCTGACTCGGGCAATTTCATGCCTATTATTGTATTTTTTTTGAATTTTATTTAATTTATATTTTTATACAGCAGATTCTTATTAATTATCTATTTTATACACATCAGTGTATACATGTCAATCCCAATCTCCCAATTCATCCCACCACCATCCCCCCTCCCACTTTCCACCCTTGGTGTCCATATGTTTGTTCTCTACATCTGTGTCTCTATTTCTGCCTTGCAAACTGGTTCATCTGTACCATTTTTCTAGATTCCACATATATGCGTTAATATACGATATTTGTTTTTCTCTTTCTGACTTACTTCACTCTGACAGTCTCTAGATCCATCCACATCTCTACAAATTACCCAGTTTCATTCCTTTTTATGGCTGGGTAATACTCCATTGTATATATGTACCACATCTTCTTTATCCATTCCTCAGTCGATGGACATTTGGGTTGCTTCCGTGACCTGGCTATTGTAAATAGTGCTGCAGTGAACATTGGGGTGCATGTGTCTTTTTGAATTATGGTCTTCTCTGGGTATATGCCCAGTAGTGGGATTGCTGGGTCATATGGTACTTCTATTTTTAGTTTTGTAAGGGACCTCCATACTGTTCTCCATACTATTATTGTATTTAATAACAACAGATGTGTAAGAAGATTTGCCTACAAGGGTATTTCAAGATAGGATGGTTTATAATAGTAAAAAAAAAAAAAAGAAACAACTTAAATGTCCATAAATAAGGGATGATTTAAATAAATTGTGCTAGGTCTTTACACTGAAACCCTATATATAAAAAAAAGATATTGTCAACAATTTCTAATTAAATAGAAAAATATTCATTACATGTTGTTAAGAGAAAAATGGTTATAAAAATAAAATAGTATGATTCTGGTTTTGTAAATATGTACATATAAGTATGCACAGTAGAAGAATTAGAGAATATATTAATAGTTCTAATACAGGAAACGCTCACTCCTCCTAGGAACTGTACTAAATGCTTCGTAAGCCACATGAAATGGGCAGTGTTAGCATCCCCGTTCTACAGATGAGGAAACTGAGTTTCAGAGAGGTTATGTAACTTGCCTAAGGTCACACAGCTTTTAAGTGGCAGTGCTGAGGTTTGAGACAGCCTGATCCAGACACTGTGCTATTCCATTTGGGGCACAGGACCAGGCTTATAAAAGGTACTCAGTGAACATTTGGGGAAAGAAGGAAAGGAGACTAGAAGAGGAGGGGAAAGGAAGGATGGACGGTACCTGGTGTATTTGAGCTTGGAGACTTCAGTACTGACGCTGGAAATCTGCTGCCTCAGGATCCACAGTGTCCCAGTCAGGAGGATGGAATTGATCTACAGAGTCAAGCAGAAGGGATGGAGAGACTGGATATACAAAAGGATAATGGCCAGACCATCTATAAAAAATAGAACTCTGACCCACAGTCTACAGTAACCACTGCAGGAAGCCACACAATAACTGACCCCAAATGACCAGGACTTGACTAATAATTGACAGCCTCCCTCATTTCTGCCCCTGCTTCCAATTTAGGGCCAAAAGGAGAAAGCCAGTACGTAACCCTAACCAATCACATAGAATGCCTTGCTTTCAGTTAGCCTACCCATAGGGTCCCCATGCCTACAGCCTCCAAGCAGGGCACACATGAAACCTTCCCTTTTTTCCTCTATAAAGCTTTCCCACTCATCTGCCTGGTTTTTAGTCTCTGACCAATGCAAGCGATTTGACAATGCAAGTGGTTGACTCCCTTGCCATAGCAATCTCCTAATAAACAGCCTTTGCTTGCTCTTGGATGATCTTGCTTTATTTCCACTGGATGCATCTGGGAAGTTAGTATCAAGACCAGTGCCCCATCATGGGTTGAATTGTGTACCCCCCACCACAAAAAATAAGATATGTTGAAGCCCTAACCCCCAAGACCTCAGAATGCTACCTTATCTGGATATAGGGTCTTTACTGAGATGATCAAATTAAAATGAAGTCATTAGGGTGGGCCCTAATCCAATATGACTGGTGCCCTTATAAAAAGGGGAAATTTGGACATAGAGACAGACATGCACAGAGGGAAGACAATGTGAAGAGATACAGGGAGAAGACAGACACCTACGAGCCAAGGAATTCCTGAGACTACCAGAATTTGGAGAGTAGACGGGAACAGATTCTTCCCTAGAGCCTTCAGATGGAGTGTGGCCTGCTGACCCCTTGATTTCAGACTTCTAGCCTCCAGAACTGTGAGTCAATAAAATTCTGTTGTTCTAAGCTACCCAGTTTGTGATACTTTGTTATGGCAGCCCTAGGAAACTCACACATGGACCCCCAAAACCTGATAGAAGTAAGCAAAACCCCTCTGGAGGAGTAAAACCTCAAGAATTCCCAAGATTTAGATCAGTCAAATATGAGCTCACAATTAACAATTACAAATGACTCAAAGAAACAAGCCACCATGAGTGAGAGTCAGAAGACTCTCATCTTGCAGGACTGTAGAATCTAGATTGGAGGCAAGGAAGCAAGGAGATTGTACTCAACCTCCCCAGGCTTCCCAGAGAGTAGAAGGGTGGCTCCCAGGGGATGGGAAGATGTTGGTCTAAGGGTACAAAGTTTCAGTTATGCAAGGTAAGTTCTAGAGATGTAATGTACAACACGGTGACTTCTGTTACAATACTGTATTATAAACTTGAAATTTGCTAGAAGGGTAGCTCTTAAGGGTTCTCACAACAAAGAAAGAAAAGGGAAAAAAAAAGGTAAGTATGTGAGGTGATGGATTTGTCAATTAGGTTGATTGTGGTGATCATTTCACAGTGTATACCTACGTCAAAACATCAAGTTGTACACCTTAAATATATATAGTTTTTGTCGATTAAACCTCCATAAAACTTTTTTTAAATGTCCATGGGGCTTCCCTGGTGGTGCAGTGGTTAAGAATCCGCCTGCAGGGGACACAGGAGCCCTGGTCCGGGAAAATCCCACATGCCGCAGAGCAACTAAGCCCATGCTCCACAACTATAGAGCCTGTGCTCTACAGCCCGCGAGCCACAACTACTGAGCCCACGTGCCACAACTACTGAAGCCTGTGCGCCTAGAGCCCATGCTCTGCAACGTGAGAAGCCACTGCAATGAGAAGCCCGTGCACCGCAACGAAGAGTAGCCCCCGCTCGCCACAACTAAAGAAAGCCTGCGTGCAGCAACAAAGACCCAACACAGCAAAAAAATAAAAATAAAAAAACCTCCAGGTTTCCCTTTGCCTCTTTCCCACCATTTCCCTCTCCAACCCTCCCCCCGCCACCAACCAATTGCTCTTAATTTCTTCCTACCTTTTCTCTTATTCAACATCTGTACTCAGAAGAGAGCAATAGACCCATTCTTACTGAAACACAAAGGATTGATAAGATTGTGGTCCCTTCCAGGGGATTTGCACGCTGGCATTAAAAAAAAATTTACAAATCAAAGAAATTACACTCTAACTTGGAAATCTCAGGAATCATGGATCAGAATGGTGCACGCTTTTGAGGAATAAGTGACCAGAGCTTTGCAACATCCACTGGCACTTCTTGATCCCTTGGGTGTCCTTGATCCTCCTCCAAAACACACTGCAACAAGCAATCAGCTTACCACTATAATTGTGCACACTGGCCCCAGGAAACTCCAGATAAACCCTGTCTCTGTATTCAGCCAGCAGCTATGGAGAAAAACAGGAGTCAGTGATTGTCTCAGAGTCCTGACCCTAAAATTACTCACACCCTGCCAGATGTGCTAATGGGAGAGAATATTGGCAGATGAGACTGGCGTGAAAATTTTCATGATGGACCAGGTCACATTTCAGTTTTCCTCTTTCAGACCTTCTTCCTGGGTTAATGTTCCTGAAATATTCACTTAATGCCTTGTGTAGAGCTCATTTCTCAAGTCATAACCTCTGTAACCCCTTTATCCAGACCTCTCCACTAGTATACCTTGTCATTCAAATCTCAGCTCGAACATCACCTCCTCTGAAAAGCCACTACCCTGGTCCTTTCCTAACAGAGCTTGCTGCTTTTTTTTTTATAGCACCTATCATAAATTATCTTCTTCAGTTATTTATATATTGTAAATTGTCCATCTTCCCCTACTAGACTATGAGCTGCATGAGAATTTGGACTTTGAACGTTTTAGCCATCTCTGAATACCCAGCACTCAGTGCAAATCCTGGCATGGATGAGGCATTCCATAATTATTTGTTAATAGGAATGAAGCAATAAAGGGAGGGAGGGAAGGAGGGAAGGGAGAAAAAGAAGGAAGAAAGGAAGAAAGGAGGGAGGGAGGGAGGGAAGGAAGGAAGGAAGGAAGAAAGGAAGAAAGGAGGGAGGGAGGGAGGGAAGGAAGGAAGGAAGGACGGACGGAAGGAAGGAAGGACTATTCTGCCATGTTTTGTAACAGCACCCCAATATTCCTTTAGCAGAAGTGTGCCTTCCCCAGCAAGAGAAGGAAAATAATCAAGTTTGGCCAACCAGATGTTCTCTCCCTGGAACGTAAGTCACCAGTAGTAGAGTGATCAAAAGGCAAGAAAATGTTTGCATCGTGAGAAAATGCTGCCCATATCCTTTCAAGGATAACTACTTCAGTAAATACGGGCCAATTTCCTCATTAGCATCTGCATCTCTGCCTGAGGGCATCAGACTAAAAGCTTTAGAAAATTTGTTCCCCCAGGGAGCAACCCTCAACCAATGGCTGATGGGAGGTAGCTGGATAAATATGCCAGCTCCCTCACCTCGCGGGTGGGATAACTGTGGTATGTGCCCCACACGGTCCCCCAGAGGTACCTACTGGGATTGAGCCCCAGTTACCTACAGCAGGACCTTCTCAGGAATGCACCCTGTATTTCCTCCTTCTATTCCCTGTCTCACTTCCCCACTCCCTAGTGCCTCCTGAGATCATTTCAAAGCCTTGCCAATGTTACTCCTCTCTTCCAAAACTTTCTGTAGTTCCTACTACCTAGAAGGTATTCACCAAATTCCATGCCCCCCCCAATTTCCTCTTCTTCCAATCCAATCCATCTATTCTCCAAATACAGCTTGAGCTCTCCCTTAGGCAAGATTTGTCCTCACTTATGTGTACATTTCAGTAGAGCTTTCAAGGCTCATTCAAAATCTACCTCCTCCAGGAAGGCTTCCATGAACTTTCCAGCTCCCATATGCCCTCATCCCTCTCTGGTCTGTGTCAGGGCTTATACTACCCACACCAACATCAGGCACTTCATCATGGTGGCCTTGCATTGTCACCACTATCTCCTGACAAGATAGTCAGACCTCACAGACATAAAAAACAAACTTATGGTTTCCAAAGGGGAAAAAGGGGAAGGGATAAATTTGGGATTAACAGATACACACTACTATATATAAAATAGGTAAACAACAAGGACCTACTGCATAGCACAGGGAACTATATTTAATATCTTGTAATAACCTATAATGAAAAGAATCTGAAAAAGAATATATGTATATATTCTTATGTGTAACTGAATCACTTTGCTGTACAGCTGAATCATTGTAAATCAATTATACTTCAAAAAAAATAAATAAATGAATATTTTTTTAAAAGGCAGTCAGACCTGAACTCAACTTGGACGCTTACTAGATATGTGACCCTGGGCAAATCCTGCAGCTGTGCTGAGCCTCAGTTTCCTCTGTAGCTACCATTTATTAAGCTGTTACTTTAGTCACTGTTGGTCTTGGGGCCGCCATGTACCGTAGCACAGGCGGTGCACTGCACAAATCTAGAGGGCAGTATTAACACTGTAGTGTCATTGAATGGTGTTGCTGTACACAGTGGAAACATAGGAATTTTGTTGAGAAATACCAGAGATAATATATATTTGTAAAGCTTACAGGGTTTAGATTATGAAGGGCACTCTTTTAACATGAATTCCATTCCCTCAGCCTTTATCTCATGACCTCACCTGAAGTATAAGCCATCAGCAGGCAGGGAGGAAACCTAGATATTTAATCCCCCAAACACAGCTCAGCAAAGTGCCTATAGCACCAGGGTGATAAACAGGGGCCCTGGGATTGGAAAGACCCAGATTCAAGTCCTCACCCTGCCACTTTTTCACTGTGTGATAGTGAGAAATTCTTTTCACCCTTCTGAGGCTCACTTTCCTCATCTGTAAGTTACAATAACAAGGGTCCATCCTAGGATGAAATGAAGTAACTCACTGAATTACAGTCTCTACCCTATCCACATACTACTTGTCCTGTCACTTACCTAATTTTTCCCTCAAAATTGACTCAACTTTTTACTTATACAATGGAATCATGTCTATACAATGGAATCATGTCTGTGAAATCATGAGTTTGATATGCCAGCAATTTTTTTCTAATGCCCTACAAAATAAATACAAAAATATTGTTTAATTAGGCCTCACTAGCATACTACCTAAAATCTTCTCACATAGAATCATGTGATAAACCTACCTCACTTTAAAACAGTCCATGGCAATAATGATGGTGGTAAAAATAACATATATAATGCTTTACACTGTGCCCAACACGGTCTAAATGTTTTGCAGATAATAATTCACTTAACACTCACAACAACACTATGATCCAGGCATTGTCATTCCCTTGCATTTAATAGATAATGGAATGAAAGCGTACAGAGTTTAAGTAACTTGCCCAAGGTAACACGGTGGTGGAGCCAGGATTCAGACCCAAGCAGGTTGGCTCCAGAGTCCACGAATTGAAACCTTGTGCCATCAAGGTCATTGTTTACATCACCACCATCCACGGATACTATAGTGCAAACAATGGCTCCTGGATTTGTGCAGTGCACAACCTGTGCTACTGTATATGGCAGCCCTGAGACCAACAGCACATAAAGTTAATAATTTTCAGGGAGATAGAAGGAGGTCACTTACCGATTATACATCCCATAACCTTGTGGTTGTATGACGGCAGAGACAGCCACCACCAGCGCCGGGAGCCCATAGCCAAAGGCACAGAGATACCTCATCTTGATGTTTCGAGAGCTGAAGTAATTCACCACTTTCAGGTTCCTGGCCATAAGGAAGAGCATCACAGCCTCCACCAGCATCCAGAAGAAGCAAGCGAGGAAAAGGTAGTGCAGAAAGCCCGCGATGATGGCACAGCCCATCTGCAGGGAAGAATCAGGCACGTTCAGGATCCCCTACTCCAGAGAGCAGGTTCAGAGGAAGAGGGCAAAGGAGAAGCTACTTTGATTGGAGATCCCCAAACATGGCCCCTTCATTCATTCCACAAGTACTTATTCTTCACCAAGGTGGCTCCATCCTTTTGGTAGGGTAACCAATCATCCAGCTTTGCCTGGTTTTCTCAGGACGTATAACTTTCAGTGCTAAAACTGGGAGAGTTTGGGGGGAAACAGATATATGATCACCCTTCTTTAGGGGATGGTTGAAGATATGGGGGAGGGGAAGGGGTCCACAAACTACAGCCATGGGTCGGCTGCCTGTTTTGTAAAGAACGTTTCATTGACATACAGCCACCCCCATTTATGTATTCTCTATGGCTGTTTTCACACTAAAACAGCAGAGCTGAATAGTCACAGCAGAGACCATAGTATCTGCAAAGCCAAAGATATTTATATCTGCCTCTTTACAGGAAAAGTTTGCCCACCCCTGGTCACGTGATAAGAGTGAGGCGCACTACTAGTCTTTAGTTCTCAGGGGGTCTGGAAAGCGAAACATCCCGCAGTGAGAGGGGTAGTTCTGCATCAAGAATGATCACCCCACCTGAAATGTCAGTAGCGCTCCCTTTGGAAAAACCCTGAGAGCCTACTGTTTCTGGCACAGTTACTGGGGGTAAATTGGCTAAAGTTCTTGTTCTCACGGAGCACACAGTCTCATGGGGGAGGTAGATACACAATCAGTAAAATAACCCAAAAAATCAATATGGTTTCAAATAGGTGCTGAGAAAGGAAGCAAAATAGAGTGATAAGGAGTAGAATTTCTCAGCTGTGGATGCAACTAGAGATTATCATACTAAGTGAAGTAAGTCAGAAAGAGAAAGGCAAACACCATATGATATCACTTATATGTGCAATCTAAAATATGGCGCAAATGAACCTACCTACGAAACAGAAACAGAATCACAGACATAGAGAACAGACTGGTGGTTGCCAAGGGGGAGGGGGGAGGGAGAGGGATGGACTGGGAGTTTGGGGGTGGTAGATACAAACTATTAAAGATAGAATGGATAAACAACAAGGTCCTACTGTATAGCATAGGGAACTATATTGAATATATTGTGATAAACCATAATGGAAAAGACTATAAAAAAGAATGTATATATGTGTATAACTGAGTCACTTTGCAGTACAGCAGAGATTGGCACAACATTGTAAATCAACTATATTTCAATAAAAAAAAGAATTTCTCCACTGTAGCATTAATGATATTTGTAACACGACTGCCAGATTATTTTCTGCTGGGGGAAGGGGGGCGGATGTCTTGTGCATTGTAAGGTGTTTAGCAGCATCCCTGGCCTCCACCCATTAGCTTCCAGCAGCATCCCCTCCCAGGGGTGACAACTAACAACGTCTCCAGATATTGCCAAGTGTCCCCTGAGTGAGGATGGAATCATCCCAGGTGAGCACTAATGGCTTAAAGAGTAGTAGGAGGGACCACTACAATATATAACATGATCAGGGAAATGATTTTAAACTGAGACCTATCACAAGATGGAGTCAACTAGGTGAGAAGCTGGGGAACGAGTATTGAAAGAGGGCACAGCACATGCAAAGGTCCTGAGGTAGGAAGTAGCATAGAGGGAGTTGGGTAACGATGAGCAGAGGCAGATTCGGAGATGATGGGGCTGGATGGGGACACAGCCTGAAGGATATGAGACCTGATTGTTGGTCTTGTCTACACCGGTGAGGAAGAGAATCTTGGCCAAGAAGAGGCACACGCAGAGGTGCAGGTGGAGGTAGGTGTTGTGGTTTTGGATGGTACGACACAGCAGGAAGGTGATGATGGCCACGGTGAGACACACCAAAGAGATGATCATGCCCACGTGGCTAATGATGTACAAAGTGAACTCCATCTGTCAGGAAAGAGATAACTGTTGGTCTCAGAGAAGGATCAACATACCCCCCAGGCAGGAAAATGAATTATCCAGCCTCCTGGCTTGGATATATAGAGCTTGGAGGCCTTTTCTCCCTCTGACACTCAGCGTGAACTAGATATTGTCCATCATCATCCTTTGGCATCCATCAGCACCCATTCTCACCTCTGTCCTATGCCCTGTTCTGCGAGGGCAGGACGTTTACAAATGACATTTCCCATGATCTCTTGGGGGTTAAGATCCTGAATGTCATTTAGGTTCTCCAGTGAGATGTATGCATGAAGGTTTTGAAAGGCAGGATGGAGGCAGATACCAGCCTTCTGCAGACAGGAGTGAGCTGTGGCTGGACTCCACCTGCCGACTATCCGATCTTTAATCTTTAATTTCCTGGATGTGGGGTGAAATGACAGCTGCAATTTTTGACCTCTGCATTATTGCTGCAGAGGGGTGATCTTGAAGCCAAAAATCCAAATGGCAGCCCCCTGACTTCAAGTCCTCCATCCCTTCCTGTGATTCTGCGAGCATCCAAGTCCCTGTATTAAATACTTTTCTGCTTGAAATACCTTGAGTGGTTCCTGTTTCCTGCTCTGAACCAGGACTGATAATAGGTGTTCAGAGATGCCCCAACTTCTGGGAGTAGAAATGGCAAGTTGAGTCCTTCTCTATGCCATAATTTGTAATTAATTTTAAGTTTATTTGGGTGCTTTCTGTGTGTTAAAGATATGCCAGGCACCATCTCATGAGCTCTTCTCTATGATATTGTGATGTAGCAGTTAAGAGAACTGACTACAGTTTTAGCTGTTTGAGCTTGGGCGAGATACTTAACTGCTCTGTGTCTCAATTTCCTCATCTGTTACAAAGAGGATACTAACAGTAACTACCTTATGGAATTGTTCTAGGAGGATTCAGTGAAAATACTTGAAGTACTCACAACAGTGCAGGAAACATGTATGATATAAGTGTTAATTTTCATCATTCTTTTTTCTTTTTTTTTTTAATGAGATGTTGATGCTTTTTAGTTTTGGTTTTTGGCTGCACTTTGTGGGATCTTAGTTCCCTGACCAGAGATTTGAACCCGGGCCGTGGTAGTGAAAATGCCAAGTCCTAACCAGTGGACCGCCTGGGAGCTCTGACATCATCATTTTTTACTTGTTCTCATTTATTTATTTATTTAGGCCGCATTGGGTCTTTGTTGCTGCACGTGGGCTTTCTCTAGTTGCGGTGAGTGGGGGCTACTCTTCGTTGCAGTGCGCAGGCTTCTCATTGAGATGGCTTCTCTTGTTGCAGAGCATGGGCTCCAGGCACGCGGGTTTCAGTAGTTATGGCACACGGGCTCTAGAGCACAGGCTCAGTAGTTGTGGCACACGGCCTTAGTTGCTCCGTGGCATGTGGGATCTTCCTGGACCAGGGCTCAAACCAGTGTCACCTACATTGGCAGGCGGATTCTTAACCACTCCGGCACCAGGCAAGTCCTTCTTTTTCTCAGTTTTAAGGTGAAAGAACTGGGCTCAGCTCAGAGAGGTTGAGTGACTTGTCCATGGAAACACAGCTAGGAAGTGACAGAGATGGGGCTTGAAACTAGACTAGTCTTGCTCTGGATCGAATACTCTTAAGTTCTAAGCCTTACATTCCTCTAAATAGCATTTAGGACCTCCCTGACAAGGAATAGAACCTCCCACCTGGTAATATAGACAAGGATACTCACCACAGCACTAATGTCTATTCTCTCTATCGAATCTAACCCCTCACCAAGGCTTATTTCAGGTTCCATCTCCTCCCTGATCTATCCCCAGTCCTCACTGACACAACACTCAGTTCCTACAGCACAAATTCTTACACCATTTACAGGCAGACCTCAGAGATATTGGAGGTTCAATTCCAGACCACCACAATAAAGCAAATATTGGCAATAAAGTGAGTCACATGAATTATTATCCCCAGTGCTTATAAAAGTTTTGTTTACACTACACCATATTCTACTAAGTGTACAACAGCATATGTCGAAAAAGTGTACATACCTTAATTAAAAAATATTTTACTGCTAAAAAATGCTACCATCATATGAGCCTTCGGTGAGTCTTAATCTTTTTGCTGGTGGAAGGTTTGAAATATTGTGAGAATTACCAAAATATGATGCAGAGCGTGAAGTGAGCAAATGCTGCTGGAAAAATGGCGCCAATAGACTTGCTCAATGCACACAGGGTTGCCAAAAACCTTCAGTTTGTTAAAAAAAAAAAAAAAACAAGTATCTGCAAAGTGCAATAAAACGAGGTATGCCTGTAGATGATTCTGTAGAAAGAGACTTCTGGACTCAGACCATCCTGGGTTCAAATCACAATCCCACTAATTACTGGCTTCATGACTAGACTGGCTGCTGAGCTCCAGTCTCCCATCCTGCAAAATGGGTCTAAAAACACTTAAAACAAAGGGTCCAGGGCTTCCCTGGTGGTACAGTGATTAAGAATCCACCTGCCAATGCAGGGGACACGGGTTTGAGCCCTGGTCCGGGAAGGTCCCACAGGCTGCAGAGCAACTAAGCCCGTGTGCCACAACTACTGAGCCTGCGCTCTAGAGCCCCCGAGCCACCACTACTGAGCCCGCACGCCTAGAGCCCGTGCTCCGCCACAAGAGAAGCCACCACAATGAGAAGCCCACGCACCACAACGAAGAGTAGCCCCCATTCGCCACAACTAGAGGAAGCCCACGCGCAGCAATGAAGACCCAATGCAGCCAAAAATAAATAAATAAAAATTTAAAAATATAAAAAAGTAAAAAATAAATAGAGCGTCCAGCCCATAGGAGGTGCTCAGTAAGTGGGGTCCGTGATTGTCATCGTGCCTGCACCTGTTTAGGGTCATTTATTGTTTTATATATGAGTGTCATGGCTTCCCAACCAGACCATGAATTCTCTAAGGGCAGAAGTATGGCACACACCCCTTCTATCCCCCATAACCCCTTCCCACAACACCCAATGCCATGAGAGGCATACTATGGATGTCTAGTCAATGTTTTCCCACTGGATCTGGGGAGCTAGAGTACAGAGCATCAGTACTGACCGTGAGCTCCCCAGCAGCCATGATGATGGCCAAGTTCACCATTCGATTACAGCTGCAGCCAGTGTGCGTCTCAGAAACTTCAAGGATTGCACAGCCAGACGGTGTCCATCTACCTCCTTCAACATCTGTGCTCCAGGAAACGCAGATGGGACTCTCAAAATTCCGCTTTGGCTGAAAATTCAAAGGCTTTGGTTACCTGAGAATCCCTCTATTCAGGAATCCATTCAGGATTCAACTTGATCAACCTCAAGAAGATGTGGGTATGTTCTGTAGGGAAGGGAGAAAAATGCTGATATTTCAATGTGCAGTAATGAAAAGAAATGTCTTGGGTGCCAGACCTGTCTCTACCACTAACTTGGTCATAGCTAATGTAAAATACCTGTGTAAATGTTCCTGCATCAACACGACTTAATCTAACCTAAACCTTGCCCATTGATGAATGGGGAAATGCCACATAGAAATAGGAGAGCTCATTTTTCTAGTGGTGGATTTTGGGAAGTGGCTTGAGTTATCAGAAATTGTGGACACTTGCTGCTTTAATGGGTCCCCATCAAAAATGAGAGTTAAGCTCACTTGAGAATGGGGAATTCTCAGAATGCAGATGGGGGTCCAATGGAAACCTCTTCACAAACCTCAATGTTCTCCAGAGTGTAGATGACTGGTTTAGAGAACCCAACTTTCTTCTCTCCTGTTATGATGCCCCCAACAATGCGAGAATTCAACTTCAACTTCCTCTTGGAGTTGGCCAAGGGGATCTGAGGGTCTTGGAAGAAGCGCTCATCCAAAACGGACTCCATACCCGCAAAGGAGACAAAAGCCACCCCGTTGATCCCTGCAATTTCCCCCAAAAGCAAAAAAAACAAGGGGGGGGGGGGAATCATTTGCTCAGTAGTTATTATAGATGACCCAGCCCGTCCACACACATGCACACTTTCATATCCCATGCATCTCTGCACCACTGGCTTGCTCTGAGAATTGAAACGCCAGTGGACTTCCAGGTAGGTGAGCCTCACCTACCAGAGGCTCTGGTACCAAAGGTACCATAACCTTTAAAAAAAAAAATCTGGAGGTGCTATCACCTGGAAAAAATCTTGGCTATATTTAAAAGTAAATTTGAATTTGTGTTTTTAAGGGACAATTCAACTCAGCAGTGGGAAATAAGTTCCCCTCCCACATTTATGGTTATTCTTGTTCAGTCTCTTTGGTGGGCTTCCGCTTTCAATGTTGGTGGTCTCCAGGGATGTGTCCTAGCCTGTTCCTTGTGCCCTCCAGAGAGCATATAGATCAGGGAGCGATGAACAATGACCTACAAGCTAATCTGGCCATTGCCTGTTTTTTGTAAATAAAAGTTTCATTGCAACACAGCCTCACCCATTCATTTACATATTGCTTATGAATGCTTTTGCACTACGACGGTAGAGCTGAATCATTGAGACAGATTGTATTGTCCTCAAAGCCTAAAATATTTACTAACCATGCTCTACGGGAAAGGTTTGCCAATCCCTGATACAGATTAGCACTGTCTGCCAGAAATATCGTATAAACCACATATGCAATTTTACATTTTCCAGTAGCCACATTTCAGAACAGTAAAAAAAAAAAAAAAGGTCATTTTAATTATATATTAACTCAATACCTACAAAATATTACCATTTCAACATGTAGTCAATATAAAAAATATTAATAAGATAGTTTACATCCTTCATCTTTGGCACCAAGACTTTGAAATCCAGTATGTATGTCACCTTCACAGCCTAACCACACTCGAAGTGCTCAATAATAAAACATGACCAATGGCTGCTGGATTGGACAGGAAATGGCTTGACACTCCTGTACTGTGAGATTATTTTTTTTATTAATATTTTATTGGAGTATAGTGGATTTACAATATTGTGTTCGTTTCTGCTGTACAGCAAAGTGAACCAAACATACATATACACATATCCACTCTCTTTTAGACTCCATTCCCAGAGATAATTTATTTAATGTCTGACTTCCCTAGCAGATGTTAAACTCCCTGAGGGCATGGGCTATTTCTGCCTCTACCATCATTTCTTTTTCTTTTTTTGGACATGCCTTGCGGCATGTGGGATCTTAGTTCCCCAACCAGGGATTGAACCCGTGTCCCCTGCATTGGGAGTGTGGAGTCTTAACCACTGGACCGTCAGGGAAGTCCCCCTCTACCGTCATTAATTCCCTCACATCTTGGCACAGGTCTTGGCACCTAGGAGGCGATCAATAAATATTTGCTAAAGAAATTAAAATTAAAAACAAAATAAATACATGCACCCCAATGTTCATTGCAGCACCGTCTACAATAGCCAAGACATGGAAGCAACCTAAATGTCCATCGACAGATGAATGGATAAAGAAGATGCGGTGCACATATACAATGGAATATTACTAAGCCATAAAAAAGAATGAAGTAATGCCATTTGCAGAAACATGGATGGACCTGGAGATTATCATACTAAGTGAAGTAAGTCAGACAGTGAAAGACAAATACCATATGATATGCCTTATAGGCAGAATCTAAAAAACAATGATACAAATGCACTTATTTACAAAACAGAAACAGACTCACAGACTTAGAGAACGAATTTATGGTTACCGGGGTGGGGGGAAGGGTGGAGAGGGATAGATTGGGAGTTTGGGATTGACATGAACACACTGCTATATTTAGAATAGATAACCAACAAGTGACTGCTAGAAAAAAATTTTTTTAATTTAAAAAAGTTTTAAAAGGTAATAAATAAATATTTGCTGCTTGAATGCACAATAACCACCCTCTCTGATTCTCAGGAGTGGGTCTGTACCTGTGGATTCAGATTCTTCGACTGTGGAGCACCAAATCTTCATCTCATCCCCTTTCGCTTTCAAATTAAAGGCCTCATTCTCTTCAATGCATCCTTTGTCGATAATTTTGCTCTCAATGTCTAAAAGGGAGAAAGGGAGAATTTACAGGAGGTCACCCAGAAAGTGGGTCTTGAATTTGGTTTCTGGCCAAGAAAGGGACGCATCCCTGGTTGCAAGAGAAGGAAAGGACAGACAGAAAGGTCGTGGGAAAGATCCTGAGGCCCTTGATGAATGACAGGAGGACGGTAGCACCAAATAAATGAGAAACCCAATTGTAACTCTAGGAGTGAGCGCTCACATCCTTAGGGGATGCGTCAGGGAAAGATGGGCTTGAAGTCAACAATGATGGAAAGCAGCAGAGTCATGGCCCTCTGACTACTCCAAATTTAGACAGGTTTTCCAAAGCCAAAGGAAATTGAAAGAGTCTGGAGCATGTCCAGCATAGTGGACAAGAAGGGTTCAGGTTCCACAGTCACTAACTAGGAGGCCTAGCTCCGCCACTCACCAGCTGTGTAAACGTGACCAGTGAATTAACACAATGCCAGGCACTCGATAAATGGGAGATGTTGTTACGATAATTGGACTTGCTTTGCTGTACGTTCAGAGGTTTGAAACAGCTGGGGAAATGGTAAATGGCAAAGCCATGCAGAATCACATGGCCAAAGTCACCCGTCTAAATCACCCCCCAGGTGTGACCTTGACACCAAGGATATGTCCTACCTAAGTGGTCCGTCTGAATCGTCTGACTGACATTCGCTGAGGGTTTCAGAAGAGCTGCCAAAGTGGTGCTTTCCACGCTCTCCAGTAAGACTGTGGCCAGGGTAGATGTCTTCTCTTTGGTGAAGTTGGACCACATGGATGTTTGTTCAATCACAGAGGCAAAGCTCTCAGCCGTACTCTGCAAGGAAAGGTGTGTTTGCTCTCTCTCTCTCTCTCTCTCTCTCTCTCTACTCTTTCTCTTATCAGTTAAACAGCAGCTGTCCCCTCTCTCATCAAGAGAATGGGTTGACAGTCTAGGATAATGAAGAATGTAAAAGGACATTCACTCAGCCTCCTTTTCCTGATTCAAGAAGCCCCACTGGGAATGCAAATTGGTGTAGCCTTCATGGTGTGCAGTAAGTCAGCACTTGTCATGGCATAAATTGCACATATCCTTTTAACTCAGCAATTTCCCTTCCAGGAATCCCTCCTGCAAGAAATACTTAAAAATTGTGCAAGGATCTTGGCCAATCATGTGCATTTCAGTGTGGTTTGTGATAGCAAGAATTCGGAAAGCCTGAATGTCCAACTGATTGGTTAAATAAAAGATGATAAAGTCAAATCATGGGAGAGTATACAGCTGTTAACAAAAGAATGACTTATATCTATGTATATTAACAAGCAGAAAGGTCCATGAGCTACGATTACGTAAAGCAAATTACAGAATCACATGTTATATTATCTCCTTTCGTTTAAAAAGAACAAGTACTTTAATTTAAAATTTTATATTTATGGTATTTATGTTTCTGGCACTAATTGAGATTTTAAAATAAATATAATTAATACTTATTATGAGCCAAGTATTAAGTGCCTTATATATACTAATTTATTTAATTTTATGAAGATACTTATGAGATAGAAGCTATTATTATTTCCATTTTGGATGAGAAAACAAAGATACATATCTAGTAGGTGGCAGAAGCAAGATTTGAACTTTGGCAGTCTGGTATCAGAGGTGGAATCCTTAATCACTGCTCTAAACCACTCATAGTAGGTACTCAATGTGTGCGTCAATGTGTGTGTGTGTGTGTGTGCGTGTGTGTGTGTTATACAAGCATTCACAAAGCAAAAAAAGATATGGAAAGCTATGCATCTAAATGTTAACATTGGTTATGCCTACGGAATAGAGTTAAGGAAAGACTAGCAATAATAATATTAATATTAATGCTGATACTGTGCCCTTGATTATTGATTATTGTTAATAAACTGACTATAAAAATGTAATCCCAACAAAAAAATATGAAGAGAATTCACAAGTTCACAACCTAATAAATGAAGGGAAGAAATTAGTTGACTCCAATCCAATGGTGAAGGAAATTAACTAAAATCTTAGCAGGGAAACCAATTTCTATGTATCCAAATTTGATGATAAGAAGATGAAAAGAATTTCAATAAAAACTGGATCAGAGTGAAACTTGAGAGATGTTTGTCTGGGAAAAACAGGATGCACTGAGTTTTGTAACCATATCCCAAATGAAAGGCATGAGTTTGGGGTCCCTCCCCACCGACAGAGCAAAAAATCTCAGCTAGACTCATCCTGAAAAACTGTGGTTCTCAATTCTGTGGCTGCTGAAATCTCATCCAAATCCCCTTTGACATTAAATCTCTTCTGCTTAGCTAGGAAGTTTATTTTATATCCTCAGGAAAGAAAAAAAGTAGCAAGCAAGCTAAAACTCCATAGTAGTAATACTTTTGTGTTAATTTTAGAAGGTTTTGTAATCTTTGGCATAATTTGGAAATCTATTGTTTAAAGGGCTGGAAGACTTTGACACATTAAAGGAGACCAATTAACCGCATGATTTCATGGCAAAAAGCAATTAGATGTGATTTTAATACGAACAATTTAAGAGAACATGGCTGTTGATACACCGTATTACACATTTTTTAAAAACTCTGAATTATTATATTTATGCATGTGACTGAGTGGATTTATGAATCCCTTAAGGGCATAGTGACCTTGCCTTTTAGGTTTGTAAATCTTCCTCATTAAGTACTTAAAATTTGGGGAGAAATGAGAATATTTGTAAACATGGTAGAAAATGTTTGAGGGAATTTAAATAAATTTGTTGACAGGGTTCATTGTTTATACAAATTTCATCTGAAAACCCTATGAATAAGTGTACACTTCATGAATAAATATGTTATACTAATAAATTAATTTAAAATTCACCAGAATACAAATGAAAGTGTTCTTCTTATTTTCATACAGATTTATAAATGACGTAACAACATCCATAAGTTGCAACTTAAAGTCTTAAGAGAAACTATTTTTTTAAATCTGCAATTGTAATGACCTAGTCATCCCACTCCTAGGTATTTACCCTAGAAAAATGAAAATTCAAGTACACACACACACACACACACACACACACACACAGATAAATGTTTATAGTAGGTCTATTGATAATCGCCAAAAGCTGGGGTGGGGAGCTTCCCTGGTGGCGCAGTGGTTGAGAGTCCGCCTGCCGATGCAGGGGACACGGGTTCGTGCCCCGGTCCGGGGGGATCCCACGTGCCGCGGAGCGGCTGGGCCCGTGAGCCATGGCCGCTGAGCCTGCACGTCCGGAGCCTGTGCTCCGCAACGGGAGAGGCCGCAACAGTGAGAGGCCCGCGTACCGCAAAAAAAAAAAAAAAAAGCTGGGGTGGGGACGGAGGAATGAAGAGATCTTGGTCAAGTGGAAACAACTCCAATATCCTTCAGAGATGAGTGGATAAACAAACTGTGGTCCATCCAGAAAATGGGACACTACTCAGCCATAAAAAGGAGTGAAGCACTGACACAGGCTACAATGTGGATGAAACTTGAAAACATGGTGCTCAGTGAAAGAAGCTAGACTCAAAGGGCCACTTACTGTGTGATTCCATTTACAAAACACTCTTGAAAAGACAAAACTGTAACGACAGAGAACAGATCAGGGATTCACAGGAGCTAATGGTGGAGGGAGTGAATATCTGACTATAAAGAGGAAGCCCAGGGCTTCCCTGGCAGTCCAGTGGTTAAGACTCTGTACTTCCACTGCAGGGGGCACGGGTTTGATCCCTGGTCAAGGAACTAAGATCCCGCATGCCCCGCTACACAGCCAAAAAGTTTAAAAAAAATTAAGTGAAAAAAAAAAGAGGAAGCCCAGTGGGGTGGGGGGGGGGGGGGGGAGGGGGGGGGGGGTCGGGGGAGGGGGATGGAACTGTTCTGTTGTCCGACTGTTTGAAACTCGAAACATGATTATGAAGACTTCACTGTTACCTTCAGAGAGACGACGGTGGTTTTGTTTTTACAGACGTCATCCAGAATGCTGAGGGTGGCATTCATCAGTGCACAAAAGGAAACCTGCATCCCAGAGGGAAGAGCATTTGTGAGCGTCGATCAAGTGTGCAATGTACAGACTGGGCCATTGAGCCCACCACGTGGGATGGTCCTGGATTCCTGAGGTGTCACAAGTCTCTAGAATTCTCAGGGAGATGAAAACTCACCTTTTGATCAGAATTGGAATCATAACATCTTTCTCTTCCATAAATAAGAAGAGAAAACATCAACCAACAGCAAAACTATTGAGTGGGGTGGAAAAGACCAGTGGTCCAAGTGGAATATAATTCAGCCATGAAAAGGACTGAAGCACTGACACAGCTACAACACTGACGGACCTTGAAAGCACGATGCTCAGTGAGAGAAGCCAGACACAGAATGATACATAGTGTGTGATTCCATTTATAGGAAATATCCGGAATAGGTAAATCAATGGAGATAGAAATTAGATTACTGTGTATCGGGGGCTGATGCCAGGGGGGAATACAGAGTAACTGTCAATGGGTACATAGGATTTCTTCTGGGGGTGATGAAAACGTTTTGGAGATAGAGGTGGTGGTTGCACACCATGGTGAGTGTACTAAATGTCTCTGAATTGTACACTTTAAAATGGTGAATTTTATGTGCATTTCACAATTTAAAAAAAAAACAACAGTGAACCAAAGTGCATGGGAATTCCAAAGCTAATTTACAAACTCGTATTTAATATAGTGACATCAATACCTGAAGATGCTTCTGGAGTCTTTACTTACTAGAACGACTTCATTAGAGAACCAAGACATCCAAATTCCTCTGCCTGGCCTGGAGGCTGCGTTATCACCCATCCCACATCACACAGATGCAGCACATACACCTTCACTAATAGTGAGACTCCAATACCATTTCTTCTTTTAGTAAACGAATCCCCAAGTTTTAGATAGACAAATGTCCTTCCCGTCCAACTGTCCTTGAAGCTATGTGTAAGCAAAAGTGATACTGGGTCATACTCTTAAAGGGAAGGACTGTGCCTTTCACTTCCCCTTCTCTTCTGCCCACCAGCTGGAATGCAGACTTGATGTCAGGAGCCAGAGCAGCCATTTTGGACTAAAATGGGGGAGACTTGTGTTGCTGATGGTAGAGTATTATGAAGCCATCATGTGAGCTCTCAGCAGCTTATACTCAGACTGTTACAAGGAGAGAAATAAATTTATACCTGGTCTAGGCCACCGTATTTTTTGACTTTGTTAAAGCTGCACAGCAACCTTCTACCTAAGTGCCTTCTGGGAAAACTTCAAGAACTAGTAACCTTCAAAAATACTTACATATTCAGGCTCCACTGCTGCTCCCACTTGGCATAGCTGGGCCCACTCATTGTTGGGTATCACATCTTCTTTACACTTGAAGGGAACCCCTGAGAAGAAAAAACAAAAACAACCAAATCAAACGTAACCACAGCAAGATATGATTAAAAGGCAAGTCTGATTTCTTCACCCCCTGCTTGAAATCCATCCATTGTCATATTATACAACAGTGGAAATGAACAAACTACAGCTACATGCTACGTCAGCAATGCTGAGAAGCATGACGGTAGGTGAAAAAAGCAAATCAGAAAAGACTATACATAATATGATACCATCGTTATAAAGCTCCAAAGCAAACCAAACTAAGGAAGGAATGTTTAGAGGGGGAATATTTTAAGTAGGGGAATTACAAAGTTCCATGTGGTTCCCTCTGGGGAGGAGTCAGGGGTACGGAACAGGGAAGACACATGTAGGAAACTCAATGGCATTGATGATGTTCTAGTTCTTATGTTGCCAAGGGCCTCAGATGTACTCATTTTATTATTATACTTCATTTCCTCCATATAAGTTATCTATACTTTTAATATATCAAATAATCCATAATTTAAAAAAATGTAAACCTTTCAAACTTCTCCATGGATTGATGCTTCAAAAATAATTTATCAAATGAGTGATTAATGAATGAGTAAATGAACAGAAAAAGAGAGAATATGTGGACGAGGTACAAAAAGAAGAGGGTACAGAGGTTGGGAAAAGTGAGGATTCTACAACCAAAGCAAGACACAGATTGCATTGCCAAGACATGCAAGGAGATTATTACTTTTGCAACTGAAGTTGCCATATTTCCAGGAGACTTCTGGATTGGGATGAAAGCCCACCATGCAGCCACAGCTGTAGGAGCCCAGGGTATTGGTGCAGACAGAATTTGGGCCACAGGGTGATGGATCCTGGAGGCATTCGTCAATATCTGTGAAGAACTCAAGAATATCAAACAACTCTGAGGAGTAAGGAGATACTTCTTTCCAGGGATGTCCAGCAAACCCTCCACTCACCTATGCAGTCCACTTTTGGGTCTGTGGAGTTGAGCTGTCCATTGCTTGGTGCAAAGCCAAGGTGGCAGGTACAAAAGTAGCTCCCGGGGGTGTTGGTGCATGTCGCATTGAAAAGGCACTTATCAAGGCACTCATCAATATCTGTGGAGTAGAGAATGGGCATGAGGCAGAGTGGGCCACCAAGCCAACAAAAATCATGCTTCGCCTTCCAAAGCAGAGAGTGGTCACTAAAACATGGCATCCCAACCAGGAACTACATTTCCCAGAATGCTCCGCATGTAGATGGGATCATGTGACTAGCTTTCACTTATGGGAACATGACATATGTCACTTCTGGGCCAAGGTGGTTAAGAAGTGGGTGTGCCTTTTCTCTCTTTCCCCACCGCTGGCTGGAACCAGGAATTCTAATGCCCTAAGGGATAGAAGAACCAAGAGATACAAGGAGACTGGACACCTGTGGAGGAAAGCTGCCCTTTGGCCAAGTATATCCATATTGGATTCATTTGAGAGTAAGAAATTTCTATTATGTTGAACTAGTGGTTCTCAACTGAGGGAGATTTGCCCCTCTGGGGACCTTGGGCAATGTCTGGAGACATTTTTGTTGGTCGCTGGGATCCAATGGATCGAGGCAAAAGATCCTATAATGCGCAGGACAGTCCCCCAGAACAAAGAGCTATCCAGCCCCAAAAGTCAATAGTACCAAAGTTGAGGAGCCCTGACCTAACTAATCTCCCTCAGAGGGTTTCTGAACCAGCTGCCATGCTCTGAGGAAGCCCAAGCAGCCATGAGGAAAAGTTCATAAGGAAAACTGAAGGGCCAACTGAGCTTCCAGCCAGAGACCAGTACCAACTACCAGCCATGTAAGCAAGGTCATTTTGCACCTGCTAACCATCCTACTGCCCCAGAAACACCATATGGTCAACCCACAGAATCACGGGCAAGAACAATTCATTGTTGATATAAGCCACTACCTTTCAGGGTAGTTTGACCTCCGCTGAGAAGTCCCCAAAATGGCTGGAAGAGTTACCTGTACACTTGAAAGCCTCAGGTTTCTCAGGGCTCCACAAATCAGGTGAAAAGAACCCTGGCAGGCAGGAGCAACTGTATTTTCCCAGGTTGTTGGTGCAGACGGAACTGGGACCACAAAGTGTGGAGTTCCTGGAACATTCATCCACATCTAAGCAGAAAATCAAAAGGATGAAGGAGGCTGAGGCTACAGCAGCAGTTCATAGCCCTACCACTGACCTAAAGCCAATGGGTTTCCCCAGCTCCTCCAGGCTCACCTTCTTAAACGCATTTGCATCACTATGAAAAGGAAACATTTAGAGGCGTGTGTATGACCCATGCAAATCTTCTGATGAGACTCCCCACAGCTCAGGATAGAATCCATACTCCTCATTAGAACATATAAGACCCTAAGAGTCTGTTCCCAGCTGAGCTCATCCTTTCCTTCTAATCCCTTCATAATTCATGACCTGGATTCATCGATTACCTGTAGGTGCACAAAGGCTCATTCTCTCTCACCTGTGTTCCCTCAGCCTCAAACCCATTGATGAATCTCAATTCCTCTTCAAGAAATCACTATATCAGAGTGGAGGGGTAAAGAGCATGGACATCTTGAGTTCAAAGCCTGGCTCTGCCCCCTTATAATCTGTGTGTTACTGGGTGCTATGGAGTGAATTACGTCACCTCCCCCCAAATTCATATGTTGAAGCCCTACCCCCCAGTGGGATGGTATTTGGATGTGGAAAATAATTAGGTTTAGATGAGGTCATGAAGGTGGGATCCTCATGAGGGAGAAGGAGAAGAAACACAAGCGCTTTCTCTGCCATGGGAGAACACAGCAAGAAGGCAGCTGTGTACAAGCCAGGAAGAGAGCTGTTTCCAGAACCCTACCATGCTGACACCTTGATCTTGGACTTCCAGCCTCCAAAACTGTGAGATAATAAATCTCTGTTGTTTAAGCCCCCCAGTCTCTGGTACTTTGTTATGGCAGCCTGAGCTGACTCATACACCGGACAAGAGAATTCATCTCCGTGTGTCTCCTTTTCCTCATCTGTGAAATGGAAGTAATCATAGAGCCCACCCCATAGTGTTGTTCAGAGGATTACATAAGATGATACGTTATCTTTAAACACTCAGAACAGAACCTGGGACACAGCAAGTACTAGGTTAAGTATTCGTTAACTAAAATAAAAAGTTAATGGCAAACGTGTTGAGCTTTCTTTGTGGCAGGCAATGAGGAAGATCCTTTACATGCATCCACTCAACAACGCTCCCAGCAGCCCTGTGAGGTGCAAACTAATATTTCCATTTTTCAGAGGAGGAAACTGAGGCTTCAGAATTGTGCAAAGTCACATAGCTTGTGAAAGGCACAACCGGGATTTAAATTCAGGTTCTGTCTGGCTCTGGAATTTTTACATGACAGCTTTCCAGGCTTTCTTGAGTCTCAGAGACTGGAAATTTGGTGATTAAATTGATATCTGTCCTGCACAAGCCCACCCTGAGTTACCAGCAGGTGTAGCCTCATTCAGAGGCAGCAGATCATGGTGGCTGAGGTATGAAGTCACACTAGGCATAGTTCTACCATGACTCTCTTATTTCCTTTCTACTTGACCTTGGGAGAGGTGATTCCACCACAATGGAGCCTCAGTTTTCTCATCTATAATATGGGTATAAAATACCACTGATAGCATCAGGTTGTTGGGACAACTGAATGAGCACATATATAGAAGAGCTTAGTGCCTTGGCTGGGATCCTGCCTTTAGGACTGTGTACCTGCTGTTTCCCCCTCCTGGAACAGCTTTCCCCAGATAACCCGTATCTCACTCCCTTCAGGTCTTTTCTCAAATATCAACTTCTCAGCATGGCCTTTCCCTACCACGCTATTAAAACTACAACTTCACCCTCGAGTATTCCCTACCCACCTGTCCTGCCTTCTTTGTCTTCATCTCCTTTAACTATCCCTGACACACAATATGTCCATGAACGTATTTTGTTTGTTCCCTATCTCTCCCCACACTGGATGATAAGTTCCATGACAACAAGTATTTTTGCCTGCATTACACACTGCTGTATCCTCCATCCCTAGAATAGTGCTTGGCATGTAGTAGGTGTTCAGGAAGTGTTTGTTGAATGAATGCATGAATGATTATTGGCTTCAGCTTTGCAGATGAGGGCTTTGAATTCAGCTGAGACCCACCTCAAATCCTCCCCCACCACTGGTGTCTTTGCAAACAGATTGGACTTGATTCCCCAAGAGACCCATGAACCTACCTTCACAAGTCTCTCCCAGGCCCTGGAAACTCATCTTTCCCCTGCTGGATTCAAATCCTGGGTTGCAGGCACAAGAGTAGCTTCCAAGACTATTGTGGCAAGTTGAATGCTCTGGGCAAGTTCTGGGATCAGCACATTCGTCCACATCTGGTGAGTGGAAATGGAAACCCCGGTCAAGGCAGAGGAAGCAGTGAGGACAGGAGACTGCAATCAGGAGATTCACTCCACCGGTTCTCCACCTGATGCTCCCCAATACCCAGACTTTCCCCTTCTCTCTAACGTCCTTGCAGCTAAGCATAGTCTTGAGAATAATGCTGGCCAACCGTATGCAAGCAAAATGGTGGCAAATAGTTTCAAGTCACAATGATCATAGATTGCAGAAATGGCTGTCATCCTTTACTCCTCCCTGTGTCCACAACTTGGGATGAGGTTTGTGCTGTACCATGCGACATTGCCACTCCTCTCTTTAAGATGTGGAGTTGTTTCCCCAGCCCTTGACTGTAGCTGGCTCTATGACTTGCATTGGTCAATAAATATGGCAGAAGCAATGTGGTGCCAGTTCCAGACTTATACCTCAAGAAACTTACTTGCTTCTGCTCACACTTTGGACCCATTGCCTCTGCCATATGAACAAACCCCAGGTTAATTTAAAAAAAAAAAGACAAAGTGCAAGAGAGTTGGATCATCCCAGATGAGCCCCAGATATGTGAGACCCACAGCTGTCCACAAACACATGAACAAGCCCAGTGGAGACCCAAAGAACTGACCAGCAGAGCCCAACCTAAACTGCCAACACGTGGAATCCAGAACTAAACAAATGGTGGTTGTTTTAACCACCAACTTTCTGGAGTGATTTGTTACTCAGCAATAGCTAACTGCTACAAATAGATCAGAAATGTCAGAGATGACTTCAAATATCTCTAACTCCAAGCCAAGGGTGTATGTTGAGGGCTTGATCACTCCATGCCTTGCTTGATAGAGTCACCCTCCCTTTAAATAAATAATAGTGCTGCAGCAGACTCAGGAAGATGGAGCCCTTTTCTCTTGGTGAGAATATTCTGGTTGCAGTGCAGAGGATAGATTCAAGGGATCAACACTAGAAAAAGGAGAGACTAGTGAGGAGGCTGTTGCAATACTGATGAAACCTAAACCAAGGATGGAAAAGAGTGAAGAGATTCAAGACATATTTAGCAGGCATTTTGCCCAATGACATGATGACTGATTTAATATGGAAAGGGAGGGAGGATCAAGAATAACTCTCAGGTCTTCATTCAAATACCTTTCAGGGAAAAGTTTTGAAGTTTGGGTCTGAGCTCTCCCCAGGATAGAGTTTATCTCAGTGCTACTGACACTTCAGACCAGATCATTCTTGGCTGTGGGGAGGCTGTTCTGTGCATTGGAGGATGTTTAGCAGGGTCTCTGGTCTCTACCCACCAGTTGACAGTAACACAAACCACCCGCCTCCACCACCAGTTGTGACAACCAAAAATGTCTCCAGACATTGTCAATATCTCCCCCCCACAGGGTGGTGAGTGAATCACTCTAAGGATCGAGCTCCCCCCCACCGTTACTCTCAAGTACTGCCTGACCCACTGCTTAACTCATAGTAGACCCTCAACGGGAGTTCAAATTCAGGTTCTTCTACTTAATAGCTGTGTATTCTTAGACAAATGACTTTACCTCTCTGAGCCTCGACTGGATTATTTCTAAAATGAGGATCATAATCCCTACCACATAGGATCACTATATGAAGTTCTTAATTAATCGAGTAGGTAAAGAAGATGAGGTTCTCTATACCTTCACAGGTGGAGTTTTTAGAGGTGTATCCAACTTGGCAGCTGCACCTGTAGCTTCCCAAAGAGTTGGTACACTCAGAGTGCTCTGGGCAGACCCCACTGTCGAGGCATTCATTAATGTCTGAGGGGCAGTGGAGGACATTGGGGAGACAAAAGATTAGGTGTCTATGGTTAGAAACACAGGTACCCAACTCAGTAGGAGCTGTCCACCAAAGACCCGTGCCTGAGAGCCTGAGCGCATTACCTGTACAGGCAAAATGACCTGGCTTTCCTGGGTTCCAGTTATTTCCAGTGGGAGAAGAGAAACCAGGCAAACAATTGCACTTATACCTCCCCGGCAGGTTTCTGCAGACTGAGTTAGGACCACATGGTGGCTGGCTTTGAGAACATTCATCTATATCTGGAGAGAAGAAGAGTCAGAGTGTTACAAATTTTCTTCATCTTGTGAAACAGTTTGTATTTTCCAAAGTTGGTTGAAACAATGTCTTCCATCCCATATGCCCTTAATTCAACGCCCTTTCATTGGTATTCCTTCCGTCAAGCCCTGGGGTCTATATTTCCTCCCCTTGAATCTGACCATGCTTGTGACTATGGTGGTGGTGACACTAGGTCCTAAATATACCATGCAAGTCATAAAAATGTCACACACTTCCACCTTGCTCTCTTGAGAAGCCGGTGCTTGACTCAGCCGCCACACTGTGAGGAAGATCAACCAGCCATGAGAAAGCAGCCCACGTGGAGAAGAACTAAGACCTCCAGCCCACAGCCCTGGCAGAGCAGCCAGCCAACAGCCAGCACAAGCTTGCCAACCTTCTGAGTGAGCCCCCTGCAAACTGGATCCTCCAGCCCCAAGTTGAGCCGCCCCAACTAACAATGTGTAGAACAAAGTCAAGCCATCCTCAGCAAACTCAGTCCAAATGGAAGATTCATTCATGAGCAAAATAAATGATTGCTGGTGTTTTAATACACAAAGTTTGCTGCTCCCCAGCAATAGATAACCAGAAGAGTTTCCAAACCCACCTCTAGGAATTTACTCATTGAAGCACCCATAGAATTGTGCAGTCATGGTACCATGGGGTGGTCCTCCCCTAATCTCCTTCAGACCTACTCTGTCAAGTCACCCTAAATAAACACTTACGATGCACTTGTTGTGCAAACAGAACTTAAAGGCAAGTTCCCTATAGCTCCCTCCCAGCAAACTGTGCCTCTCCTAGAGAGAAATCTGTACCTGCCACTATATATCAAGATAAGATCACAGGAATGTTCATTCCAGCTTTAAGTCATGAAACATTAGAAAGACCTAGTGTCCATCAATTGCAGGGTGATTAGGTCTGGAGTTGACATAAAGAATAAGGTAGCATGGTCCTTCATTTGATAAATATCTATCAAATATTCACAATGTGTTAGACAACACAGGTCAAAGACATAGAGCGGACAAGATCCTTGCTGTAGTATCCACCATTATGTAGATGGGGAATGTTGCCCTCACCCCTTATTTAAAAACAAGGGACCAACAAGACTACTGTGCTTACTGAATAACCCATGAACTGTAGCCTAAAGATTTTAAAAAGTATGTTTGTACAGATGACCAATGAAAAGATGCTCAACATCACTAATTATCTGAGATATGCAAACCAAAACTACAATGAGGTATCACCTCACACCAGTCAGAATGGCCATCATTAAAAAGTCTACAAATAATAAATGCTGGAGAGGGTGTGGAGAAAAGGGAACCCTCCTACATTGTTGGTGGGAATGTAAATCGCGGCTGCCGCTATGGAGAACAGTACGGCAGTTCCTCTTAAAAACTAAAAATAAAGTTACCATATGATCCAGCAATTCCACTCCTGGGCATATATCCGGACAAAACCATAATTTGAAAAGATACATGCACCCCAATATTCATAGCAGCACTATTCACAATAGCCAAGACATGGAAGCAACCAAAATGTCCATAAACAGATGAATGGATAAAGAAGATGTGGTCCATATGTACAATGGAATATTACTCAGCCATGACAACGAATGAAATAATGCCATTTGCAGCAATGTGGATGTACCTAGAGATTATCATACTATGTGAAGTCAGACAGAGAAAGACAAATACCGTATGATACCACCTGTATGTGGAATCTAAAATATGACACAAATGAATTTATTTGCAAGCCAGAAATAGACTCCCAGACATAGAGAACAGACTTGTCATTGCCAAGCGAGTGGAGGGGAGGACGGAATGTGAGTTTGGGATTAGCAGATGCAAAGTATTGCACATAGGATGGATAAACAACAAGGTCCTACTGTACAGCACAGGGAACTATATTCAGTATCCTATAATAAACCATAATGGAAAAGAATCTGAAAATATACACACACACACAGACACACATATACATATATATATATAGCTGAATCATTTTGCTGTACAGCAGAAACTAACACAACATTGTAAATCAACTATACTTCAATAAAAAATAATTTTTTAAAAAACTGTGTTTGGGGTTCCCTGGGAACTATAATAATACAAATCAGTTATCTTGTTCAGAGCTCAGCAAATGATTTACAGCCCATAAGTCAAATCCAGCCTGCTCCCTGTTTGTGTAAATAAAGTTTTATTAGAACACAGCCCCACTCATTTATTTATGTATCATCTATGGCCGCCTTTGCACTACCCCTGGAGTACTAAGTAGTCAAGAGAGATCATTCAGCCAGCAACCTCCAAAATATTTACTATCTGGCCCCTTACAGAAAAAGTTTGCAGACCCCTGCAAACTATGTCAGAGGCATAGTCGGACCTTTACAGTCAAGAGGAGAGTTTGGGTCTAAATATAAGGAATACAAACCAAAAACTTAGCTTATTCTGGGAATTATTTTAGTTTCTATTATTTATGTTGATAGTAGCTCTTGGGACTGTACATGTGCCTAACACACGGTATACACTACCGCATATAATCACAAATACCCTTTAATGTAGGTACTCTTATACTCCCATTTTACAGATGGAAATAGTGAGGCTTAGAGAGATTAAATACAATTTCCCAACGCTTCACAACTGGACTGTGGCAAATAGGTAAGTGGTTGAGAGATCGCTGTTACACTCAAAAAGACCTGGGTTTGAATTCCAGTTTGACTGATCCTAAAGAAGTCGTTTCAGTTCTCCAAGCCTCGGTCTTCTCATCTGTACGGTGGAGATCATCACAACGACTACACTTGACGTAATGTGAAAATGCACATAAAGCCCCTCACACAGGGCCTGGCACTCAATACATGCAGAAAATCTTGTGATTTGCATGGAGAGGCGACCAGAAGGAAATCAGTGGTTATTTCCAGATATTGACAAACAGCATAATTTTGTTTCTTTTTATTCTAACACTTGTCTCTAGTCATTGGAGGTTTTTGTGACCAGGAACAGTAAGAAAGAAAGGGGGGGGGGGGGGGGGGGGGGGGGGGGGGAAGGAAGGAAGGAAGGAAAGAGAGGAAGAGAGGGGGGAGAGAGAGAAGGAGAGGGAGGGAGGAAGGAAGGAAGGAAGGAAGGGATTAAGAAAAAAAGAAAGAGAAAGAAAGGAAGGAAGGAAGGAAGAAAGAAAGGGAGAGACAAGGAGGGAAGGAGGGAGGGAATAACGCTTGGGAAAAAAGAAAAAGTACCTACATCTGCTGCCCAACCAGCTTCCACCTGATTTTCCAACTAAATGCTAGCGGATTTTGAGGGGGCATGAACTCACCTTTGCATTCCACTTGTGGGTCCCTGAACTTCGTCTGTCCATTGCTGGACAGGAAGCCTTTTTTGCAAGTACAGTAGTAATTTGTTGAAGTGTTGGTGCAGGTTGCGTACGCCGGACACATGGTGGTATCAGCACACCCATTCTTTTCTAGGCAATGGAGAAGAAAGGATTTGGGTTAGAGCACCGAGTGGGGCTGCAAGGGAAGCCAGCGCAAGAGAAGGAAGGTGACTGTTATGGGTTGAATTGGGTCCCCCCTCCCCAAAATGAGTTATTGAAGTCCTAAACGCTGGTCCCTGAGAATGTGACCCTATTTGGAAATAGAGTCTTTGTAAATGTAATTAAGACCTAAATTAAGATGAGATTATACTGGAGCAGGGTGGTCCTTTAACCTGATATGATTGGTGTCCTTCTAAGAACAAGAGGCGAGGCACAGAGACAGGGAGAACAGCACGTGATGATGGAGGCAGAGATCAGAAGGGTGCAGCTACAAGCCAAGGACCACCAAGCATGACCAGCAACGCCAGAAGCTAGGAGAGCTTGGAATAGATTCTCCCCTACAGCCTTGAGAGAAAGCACCTTGATTTCAGACCTCTGGCCTCCAGAACTGTGAGAGGATACATTTCTGTTGTTTTGAGCCACCTGGTTTGTGGTAATTTCAGCAGCCCTGGGAAACTGATACAGCCACCAAGGGAGCTCAGTGAAGGACCTTATAGACCCCAGACCCTTGCTGCTCCAAGTGTGGTCCACAGACCAGGACCTGCCTCATCTGGGATCCCCAAGAGATCTTGGGAAATCAGACACTGATTCGGATCTCGGGATGGACTTAAGATTCTGCATTGTTAACAAGTCCCTGAATGAGCATCAGAGCTCTAGACAGAAGAGTTATGAGCGAACATTACAGCCCTGCAACTGATTTTATTGCAGCCCCTGCTGACATCCGTTTTTTTTGTTTGTTTGTTTGTTTTTTGCGGTACGCGGGCCTCTCACTGCTGTGGCCTCTCCTGTTGCAGAGCACAGGCTCCGGACGCGCAGGCTCAGCGGCCATGGCTCACGGGCCCAGCCACTCCACAGCATGTGGGATCCTCCCGGACCGGGGCACGGACCCGTGTCCCCTGCATCGGCAGGCGGACTCTCAACCACTGCGCCACCAGGGAAGCCCACCTGCTGACATCTTGATTTTAGCCCAGTAGGACCCATTTCGGACTTCTGACCTCCAGAGCCGTAAGATAATGTTTCTGTTATTTTAATCCACCAAGTCTATGAGAATTTGTTACAGCAGCCACAGAAAACGAATCCAGTTCCGATTATACAGCTGTGGAAAACTGAGGGTCAGAGATGTTCAGTGACTTGCCCAAAGACACACAGCTGGCGAGGGGTGGCAGCAGATCTGTCAAAATCCAAAGTGTGTGGTTTTCACTACTGCTGGGCAAGAAGAGGTGGGTCTGGCTGGAAACGGAATAAATCTTCAGGCAATTTCTAAGACAATTCTATGCAAAAACTTTTTCAATTGGTTGTTTCAAGTCTTTTGTCTTGATGGACTGTAAGCTCCCAGAAGGCAGGGGTTTGTGTCTGTCTCATTCGGTGGGTGCTCGGTAATGAAGACCTCACTGAGAAGGTAACATTTGAGCAAAGACCTAAGGGAGCTGAGTGAGTGAGCTACGAAACTATTTAAGGCAGAGGAAACAGCAAGTGCAAAGGTCCTGTGGCAGGACCATGCCTAGTGATGTCATGGAATTACAAGATGGGTGTGGTTGGAGCAGAGTGGATGACAGGTGCATGGGAGGAGGTGATATGACAAAATCACGTAGGATCTGCTGGACCGTTGTAAGGTTTCAGCTTTTTATCAGAGACAGATGGGAGCCATGGGAGAGTTTGAGCAGAGGAGGAATACAGCATCACTTGGGTTTTAACATGATCCTTCTGGCCACTGGTTGGAGGATGAACTGTATCGGAGCAGAGGTAGGATGACCAGGTAGGAGGCAACTGCACTTGTCCAGGGGAGCGATGATGGTGGATACAGCCCAGGTGAGAACAGTGGCGCACATAAGATTCTGAATTTATTCAGACAGTCATGCTAATGGGATTTGCCGATGGATTGGATGTGGGATGTAATAGAAAGAGAGAAGTCAACAGAAGTGCCCCCATCAATTAGTCAGATTTATAAAGTGCTGCAAAAACAAAAGGGACAGATTTTCATTACTAAGGTCTTGAGAGCCAGAGTCTTTGCTACCTGCACACTGCCTTATTTATCCCTTCCCTGCACTATGCCTCAGGTTGTATCTCTCTTCTCATTTCCAGCTTCCTCTTTCATCTGCAAAGGCAACATTTCTTTTTGCAGATTTACTGTGTGTTACCACTTGTGATCTCTCAACTCTGAGTTTCCCATTACTTTCTTTCTTCCTCTAGCTCAATCCCTCAGGACTCAAATCCACCCCAAACCAGAATAACAACACGGTCCTGTGTGACCGGCCACCTGCTAGCTTCTCTGGCTCATCTTCTACCTGGTCCCACCACCCACACTCACCTCTGCTCAGTTCTCCAAATTCTTTCTGGCCTGCAGATCTTGAGACGTGCCAGAATCATGTGAGCCAATTCCTTACAATAAATATTTACATATACTTATATGTAGCTATCCATTCTATTGATTCTGTTTCGCTGGATAACCCTGACAAATACAAACACCTACTATATGCCAGGCAATATTCTAAGCCCTGTGGATTCAGCAGAGGAACAAGACATACAAAATTCCCCACCTTCACGGAGATGATAATCTGATGAGACATACAATGTCAAAACTAGGGTAGTCGCTGAGAAGATAACTCATGAGCTGAAGCATACAGAAGGTGAGGGAGGGAGCCATGTATATATAGGGAGCAAAAGATTCCAGGCAGAAGGAACGGCACATGCAAAGGCCCTGGGGCAGGACAGTGCCTGGTGTGTTGCAGGACCAGCAAAGAAACCCAGGTGGCTGGAGCAGAGTGAGCGAGGGGGAGAGAGAGGGAGGAGGGGAGGGCAGGGAGGAGACAGGGCAGGTCGTGCAGGACTTTGTGGGCAGCAGGGAGGACTCAGACTTTTGCCCTGAGGGAGGAGGGAGCCCTGGAGGGCTGTGGGCAGAGGTGGGGCAGGACCTGACTCAAGGGCTCACAGGCGCCCTCTGGACATTCTTAGAAGGGCAAGGAAACAGGAGACCGGGGCAGAAGCCACTTCAACAATCCAACCGAGACATGCACGTGATCCTCAACCGTGAGCACAACAACTTAATAGATGGTCACTTAATTGACGAACATAGAAAATGAGACTCAAGGAGGCAAAGAGACTTTAAAAAATATAACTAGAACTACCATTTCCTAGGTGTCTTCCACCTGCCCAGCCCCTTCCTTAGATGTTCTGCAGTCCTCACGATAATGTTTTGAGGAGAGATGACCAAGCCATCCTGGTTTTCCCAGGACTTTCCTGGTGTTAGCACTCAAAGTCCAGCATCCTGGGAAACACCCCTTCCCTCCAGTCTGGGTCAAGCCAGGATAGTGGGTCACCCTACTTCAAGGTAAACATTAGGACTCCTTTCTACAGATGTGGAAAGGGGGGCCCAAGAGAGTTTGGAAAACCGTTTCCAGGTCACACCACGAGTCAGGATGCAAGAGAAGAGCCAAGTAGAGTGGACGGGTGTTAAGAGGGAGACATGTGCATCATCCTGGCTGTGCTCCACCACTGGCTACAAGCTTTGGCGTAGCTGCAGCCGAGCCAAGTAAGAACCAGTTAATTTGTGATGCTCAGAGGAGGAGACAGAGGAGGAAGGGGGGAAGGAAGAGGGAGGGGAGGAAGAAGATGAGGGAGAGGGAGTGGAAAGGGGGAGGGGTTGTCATTAATCAGGTGACAAGGGAACTATATTCAATTTCTTGTAATAACCTATAATGGAAAAGAATCTGAAAAAGAATATATATACACGTGTGTGTGTGTGTGTATAAAACTGAATCACTTTGCTGGATACCTGAAACTAACACAACATTGAATATTAACTATACTTCAATTTTTAAAAACAGTTTAAAAAAAAAGGGGGGTGGGGGGAATTCTCTGGCAGTCCAGTGGTTAGGACTCTGTGCTTCCACTGCAGGGGGCATGGGTTTAATCCCTGGTGGGGGAATTAAGATCCCGCATGCTGCGCGGTGAGGCCAAAAAAAAAAGTTTTAAAAATATGGGTGGGGGGATAGCAGCGTCTCTCGGCCCTACCCCCATCCAATTTACCTGATTGGCATCGCATCCCCGCCACTGTCTCGCTGGCCTAGAAGTATTGCCTGACAGATGCAGGAGTGTAACGGTCTCTGAGCAGGTGAACCTCTGTGATGTAATTCACACTCCAGAGCTCCTCCTGGGATCAGGCTGTGGCTGAAACTCTCCTGAAACACCTTCTGAGTGGCTAGTTCTTCCCCTATCCAATCCTGCTTCCCTCCCTCCCCTACAAGTGTCTCCTGAGAGTCCTTCCTTACTAAATTACTCACACAAGAATCCTCACCTCAGACTCTGCTTCTGTAGAAATTAACCAAAAGCAGGCGGTGATCCTTATTTTTGTTTCTTTGGGTTTTTAAAAAAAATTGTTTTTATTGAGGTATAGTTGATTTACAACGTTGTATTAGTTTCGGGTGTACAGCAAAGTGATTCAGTTCATGTACATATATATATTCTTTTATATATATACATATATATATTCTTTCAGTTCATATACATATATATATATTCTTTTTCAGATTCTTTTCCATTATAGGTTATTCCAAGATATTGAATATAGTTCCCCGTGCTATACAGTAGGACCTTGTTGCTTATCTATTTTATATATAGTGCTGTGTATCTGTTGTTTCATTTGTCTTTATCTTTTTTTAAGAAGGTAATAATTACTTATAGTAAAAAAATTCAAACAATGCAGAAGTATATAAAATTAAAAGTGAGGATTTCCCTGTGCCCCATCGTTATACTCAGGGGTCACCACTAGGTTAGGTCCTATTCACAAGCTCAGTCATGTAAATATAACATCAAATATAATTGAATTTATAAATTCACACAATTTTCTGAACACAAATGGTATCACTTAACATACAGTCCACTGTGCTGTCCAACACAGTAGCTACTAATCATATATGGCTGTTTACACTGAAATCTATTAAAATTAAATAAAATGAAGCATTGATTCTTCAGTTGCACTAGCCTCGTTTAAGTTCTCAGTAGCTCCATTGACTGGCGACTACTGTAGATCTAGAACGTGTTCATTGTCATAGAAAGTTCTTTTGGACGGCTCTATTCTACTATTACTTTCTTTTTCATGTAACCAAGAGCAGCAAAATTTGCCAAGGGTTGAAGTTGAGCAATGGGTACATGGGAGTTTGTTATACTATTTTTCCTACCTTTGAATGTTGAAATACTTCTACAGTTAAAAAAATTAAGAAAATAATGTTTGGGGCAATTTTCCAAGTCAGTTCACATGACCAAACTTAAGCTTTTTATCAGCTGTATAGCATTCCATTATATCCAGGGGCTCTAACTGTGCCAGAGATAGCTAGGTAGCCCAAGACCAAACAAAAACTTCACACTCTCCTTTCCGTGGTGTAGAATTGACAGTAGGAGGCAACTACCCTGCCATGGACTACATTTCCCAGCTCACCTTGCATCCAGGTATGGTCACGTGACCATGAACGGCGTTGACGTGTGTCACTGCAGAGCCTGAGTTTTAATAATGTGGCTTCGCCACTGTCTGCAGAGTCTCTGAGATACTAGTATGGCTGAGCCACAAAACAGAAAGCATCTGGGTCCCCGAATCACTACATGTAGGAAAACCACCCACCAGCCAGAAATATCCTCACTGGGCTCTTAAACAAACAAGAATGAAATTTCTTTTTCTTAAGCCACTGACAGTTTGGGGTTTATTTGTTACAGTAGCTTGAGCTGGTCTCACAAATGCAACAATTTATCCAGCCAGCCCCCTGGTGTAAGCATACATTTAGTTTATTCCAAGTTGTTACCATGTTTTTTTTCCCCAGCGGACAAAACACCCCATTCAGAGGCCACACTTCACTGCTGCAAGATGCCATAAGCTATCCCTACGCAAACACCCACACACCATCTCGGGAGGAACGAGAGTAGGGTGAGGAGATTTGAAAGATTAACTCTTCGTACCATAAAGGCTGAGTTTCCCAAATAAGGCTGGGCCAGGAAACTGAGACACTGAGAACACAGAACTGGCCATGTTTCTCCTCCTGGATCCAGCAGGAGCTTGTGTGGAAGATCAGAATACTGAACAAAACATCTAAAAATGCACTTTTTTTCCCCACGTTGAGTTGTAGTTTAAATAAATCCCATCCCCATCCCCACTGCCCCATCATTCATGAAGCTCTTCTCACACATGCCAGGTAGTATACAACGTTACCTCTTTGGTTTTAAGCTTCACAACATCCCTGTGACATAGGAAACCTCGTTACCTGTATCTCGCAGCTGAGGAAACTGAAGATCAAAGAGGTCGTGTGACCTGCCTGAGGTCACACAGGAAGTTTAAGGCACAAGAGAAAAAGCTTGGGTGGGAACCAGGAGACCTGGATGTTATCCCTTGCCCAGCCACGGACTAGTTTGTGGCAAGTGTCCACCTGTGTCTCTGCCTCCTGGGTCAGAAGATTCTCCTCCCCGCCACACTGGGCATATAGATTCCCCAACTTACGTCTTGCCATTGATTCCAGTGAGGGTAATGTGAACATTCCCCAGGTGTATATACCACAACACTCTGTGAAGAAAGAAAAGAAAAACACCATGACCCATCAAGAAGCTCTTTGGACTCAACCTGAAAAACTACTCTTGGTGTAGCCTCATAGAAACGGGTTTGATGAGCTTAGATGAAAGCCCCAAGTGAATGACAAGCATACATTATTTTATATAACATTCACAGCCACCATTCCTGCTTTTCTGCACTTCATTTTCGTTTTTCATTTTGTTTGTATTATCTTCATTTTTTTTTCATTTATAAAGAGTTCCAGATGATTTTCAAAAACATACATTGAGGAAATTCCCTGGAGGTCTGGTGGTTAGGACTCCGCACTTCCACTGCAGGTAACATGGGTTCGATCCCTCATCGGGGAACTAAGGTCCCGCAAGCCGTGCAGCACGGCCAAAAAGAAAAAAAAAAAAAAACTAATAAGAACCTACTGTATAGCCCAGGGAACTCTACTCAATATTTTGTGATGGCCTATATTGGAAAAGAATCTAAAAAACAGTGGATATATGTATATGTATAACAGATTCACTTTGCTGTACACCTGAAATTAACACTACATTGTAAATCAACTATACCCCAATAAAAATTAGAAGGAAAAAAACATCCCCATACATTGAAACATGCATTCTCAAAAGAAATAATATCTGCCCCCAAGAGCAAAGCTTGGTTCTTGGGGAGAGACGAAAAAATCTTACTCTTCATGTATAAGACACATACAGATATACATATAATATATAAATAAGTATATAGTATATCTGTAGTATTAAATTTTAATGGGAGGGTAAGACAATTTTTTTAACATCTAAAAGGCAGTGCAGCCCCCCCAACATTCAGCTCCTCTCCATCATCACATCATATCATCACATCATCACCAACACCATCACCACCATCGTCAATGTCAACATCACCACTCTTTGCTTATTAAGGGCAGAATAGAGTGCTAATGGCCAGCACCAGTGCTGACACCCCAAAGAAACAAGTCTGCATCTTAGCATTTGAGGTCCACAAATTACCTGCTCCTTCTAATGAAACCCGCCAGTCGACAAGTCCCACGGACCCAAACTCCCAACTTTCTTATTTTCACTAACTGAAATTCTCTCGCTCTTTACTTATTTTAAAGGCAACAGAACATCGTGTTTAAGCATACCAGTGCTAGGGTCAAAATGCTTGGGCTTAAAACTCTGCTTCACCAATTACAGACTACGTGGCCTTGGGAAAGTTACCTAATCTCTTTGTGACCACATTTTCTCCTCAGTGAAATAAGGGAAACGGATCCAATGTACAACACGGAGAAAATCCACACTTGTTGCTTAGATAAGGTCTCCCATTCTTAGAGTTGAACCAAAGACCCAAACTCACGAGACCCGTGAAGGAAACCATGACATGGAAGATAAGCAAGACCCAGAAAAACTGAGAGCTGAAGAAAAGAAAATGGCTCCATCGCATTGTTCAGGCCTCAGCACAAACATCACTTCTGCAGAAATACCTTCCCCTGACTTCCCTCTTCTACGTAAGCCCCAGTCACACTCTATGACAATTTCTTTCAGAGCGCTTGCCACTCCCTGAAATGCTTTTGTTTATTTGTTATTTGGAGCGGCATAGTTTAGAGATGTACAGACTCTGGATCCGGGATGCCTGTTTTTAAATCCTAGCTCTACCCCTTACTAGCTAAATGGTCTTGGGCAAGTTATTTAATCTCTTCGGCCTCATTTTTCTCCTTTGTAAGATGGGACTATTTTATTGGAATTGGGGTAGAGTTGCTTTACAATGTTGTGTTAGTTTCTGCCGTACAGCGAAGTGAATCAGCTATGTGTATACATAGATCCCCTCTCTCTTTTGGATTTCCTTCCCATTGAGGGCGCCACAGAGCATCGAGTAGAGTTCCCTGTGCTATGCAGAGGGTTCTCATTAGTTATTTTATACACAGTAGTGTGTATCTGTCAATCCCAATCTCTGTATTCATCCCACCCCCGCCCTTTCCACCCCTTGGTGTCCATATGTTTGTTCTCTACATCTGTGTCTCTATTTCTGCTTGCAAATAGGTTCATCTGTACCACTTTTCTAGATTCCACATACACGCGCAAATATACGATATTTGTTTTTCTCTTTCTGACTTACTTCACTCTGTATGACAGTCTCTGGGTCCATCCACGTCTCTACAAATGACCCAATTTTGAAAATAAAAACAAAAATAAACAAATGGGACCTAATGAAACTTAAAAGCTTTTGCACAGCAAAGGACACCATAAACAAGACAAAAAGACAACCCTCAGAATCAGAGAAAATATTTGCAAATGAAGAAGCTGACAAGGGATTAATCTCCAAAATATACAAACAGCTCATACAGCTCAATATCAAAAAAGCAAACAACCCAATCAAAACATGGGTGGAAGACCTAAATAGACATTTCTCCAAAGAAGGCATACAGATGGCCAAGAAACACATGAAAAGATGCTCAACATCACTAATTATTAGAGAAATGTAAATCAAAACTACAGTGAGGTATCACCTCACACCGGTCAGAATGGCCATCATCAAAAAAGCTACAAACAATAAATACTGGAGAGGGTGTGGAGAAAAAGGAACCCTCTTGCACTGTTGGTGGGAATGTAAGTGGGTACTGCCACTATGGAGAACAGTATGGAGGTTCCTTAAAAAACTAAAAATGGAACTACCATAGGACCCAGCAATCCCACTAGCCTGAGAAAATGGGACTATTAATGACCCAATATCAGAGGCATTTAGTGAAGACTGAATGCATTCTCTATTTGAGGAACTTAGAACGGTGCTACTTGGGAGGTTGCTATCACCGTTAGTGGCTTTCTTTCTTCCTATCTCCTCCCACCGGTATGTCAGCCTCACAAGGGCAGAAACCTTGTTTGTTTGTTCACTGCTCTCTTCTCAGTGCCTAAAACAGCACCCAGCATACCGTGGGTGCTCAGGAAATACATGTCAACTGAATGACTATAACGAAACTCTTCCTTGACAGATGAATTCCCTGAACCGACTGATTTTGGTCAAAGGTTCCCCAGTGAAGGTGTTTGCAGTGTCTAGCCTAGAATTATGATCTCTTGGCTGGACAGTTGAGGCCCTCTCTTTTCCTTACCGTCTATTTCCAGTGCAGGCTCTCCCCAGACCCCCTATTCAGGCTCATACTCACCCCAAAAGAGGAGAAAACTGAAGCTCCACATCGTGCAGGTTCTGTCATTCAATGAAGAGTACTTTCTCGCTGTTCCCAGGGTTTTCAGTAACAGAGGGTGCGGGGAGAGGGGAAGGGCAGAGCCAGAATTGCTCAATGCAGCCAAGACATCATGGCCCTTTTTGCTAAGTTGCCTCCACTCATAAAGGAGAGTCTGACAAGCCTCTAATCCTCTCCTTTCTCCACAGTGAAGAGAAGTTTGTCTGGCTGATGGGTCCCTGTGTGGGTCTATCTCCCTCTCTCTCTCTACTTCCTTCCTGCTCACTTTTTTCTTCCCCCAGCAACATCTATCTCCTGTCTCTCATCACCTTATTTTATTGCACCCAATAATAAATAAGCTTCCACTACCCAATGAAGCAAGCCCCAAACTCAACGGTCTCCTCCCAGCCTGCCCCCATACAAACCATCATCAGAGCCCTCAGGTACCAGGCACTGTGCTAAACATATTTCCAATAAAATTTAAGTTCACCGTCATGTCAACATCATATACTAGGGATTCCTACCCTCACCTATTTCACCAAAAAAGTACAATTAAAATGGAAACCAAGGTTGAGAGAGGAGATGCGACTTGCCCAAGATTACCCGGACCCGAGCTTTGAATCCAGAACCCTCTGACTCCAAGGTCTAGAGCTTTCACCATTTCATTTGCCTTTAGCTCCCCACAATATCTGATCACTGGACAGTGACACACCCCATTCCCAGCACTGCCCCCAAACCAACCCAACACACACACACACACACACACACACACACACACACACACACACGTGCCATCTCATAAACACGGTGATCTAGGAATGTCTTAGTTAGGGTCCCCCAGTTGTAGATGCTCAGACAAGGATTCTCGTGAAGGTAGTTCATCAGGGAGGTGACCCCAAAAAACTCCATCTGGGGATGGGGGAAGTGAGAGAGGGAAGGGAAAGAACCTGCAGTGAATTTTATCAGGCAAATTACCCAATAAGAAACTGAAACTTAATGTGGCTGGGGACCTCTGGAAGGTAACCTAGAGCACACTCTTCAGAGTGATCCCAACTGTCAGGGGAGGGAGTTGGGGTATTTATCCACCAGCTACTGTCAGTCACTGATTGAGGCTTGTGTCAACCCAAGACCTGGCCTCCAAGCAGATAGAATGGGCTCCAGTTCATAACCCTGTTGAAGACAAAATGCAGTGGCTGGCACATGTCAGTCTAGTGTGCCTTAAGGGTTGAAGGTCATAGGTGTGGACGGGCACCAAGAACACCTGCTCCAAGCCAAAACTTAGGTGCAAAGACCAGTCCCACGTTCTTGGGAAGAAGAGCCCCACTTGCTTTTATATTCTTCTTTTTTGCTCTGTGCAAGGCAAAATATACACCTTGGAGTTATGGTAGCTGAAGCAGATCCATCAGTGGTTCCATCTGTTCATCAGGAGACCCTACCCAATGAGGCTGCAATTACGAGCCAGCACAGAAATACAGTAAAGTTCACCAAGAAGGGAGATGTTAAGAGAAGCTCTGGAGGATAAAAACACTCTAGCACCAGATCGCCAGGGGTCCAAATCTTGTCTCCACCGCTTGCTAGTTATGTGTGGTCCTGGGCAAGTTCTTTTTTTAATTTTTTTTAACGTCTTTATTGGAGTATAATTGCTTTATAATCGTGTGTTAGTTCTGCTTTATAACAAAGTGAATCAGTTATACATATACATATGTTCCCATATCTCTTCCCTCTCGCGTCTCCCTCCCTCCCACCCTCCCTATCCCACCCCTCTAGGTGGTCACAAAGCACTGAGCTGATCTCCCTGTGCTATGCGGCTGCTTCCCACTAGCTATCTGTTTTACGTTTGGTAGTGTATATACGTCCATGCCACTTTGTCACAGCTTACCCTTCCCCCTCCCCATATCCTCAAGTCCATTCTCTAGTAGGATAAAGAAGATGTGGCACATATATACAATGAAATATTACTCAGCCATAAAAAGAAATGAAATTGAGTTATTTGTAGTGAGGTGGATGGACCTAGAGTCTGTCATACAGAGTGAAGAAAGTCAGAGAGAGAAAAAGAAATACCGTATGCTAACACATATATATGGAATCTAAGAAAAAAAAAAGTCATGAAGAACCTAGGGGCAAGATGGGAATAAAGGCACAGACCTACTCTTTTTTTTATTTTTTATTGAAATATAGTTGATTTACAATGTTGTGCTATTTTCAGGTGTACAGCAAAGTGATTCAGATAGATATATACATATATATATATTCATTTTTTTACATTCTGTTCCGTTATAGGTTATTGCAAGATATTGAGTATAGTTCCCTGTGCTCTACAGTAGGTCCTTGTTGTTTATTTAGTTTATATAGAGTAATGTGTATCTGTTAACCCCAAACTCCTAATTTATCCCTCCCCTCCCTTTCCCCTTTGGTAACTATAAGTTTGTTTTCTATGTCTGTGAGTCAATTTCCGTTTTGTCAATAAGTTCATTTGTATCACTTGTTTAGATTCCACATATAAGTGATATCATATGGTATTTGCCTTTCTCTGGCTTACTTCACTTGGTATGATAATCTCTAAGTCCATCCATGTTGCTGCAAATGGCATTATTTCCTTCTTTTTTATGGCTGCGTAATATTCCATTGTATAAATATATCACATCTTCTTTAGCCATTCACCTGTTGATGAACATTTAGGTTGCTTCCGTGTCTTGGTTATTGTAAACAGTGCTGTTGTGAACATTGGGGTGCATGTATCTTTTCAAATTATGTTTTTCTCTGGATATACACCCAGGAGTAGGATTGCTAGATCATATGGTAACTCTACTTTTAGTTTTTTAAGGAACCTCTGTACAGTTCTCCATAGTGACTGCACCAATTTATATTCCCACCAACAGTATAGGAGGGTTCCCTTTTCTCCACACCTTCTTCAGCAATTAATTTCTCTATGCCTCAACATGCCATCTGTAAAATGGGCTTGATAAGCAGGACATATTTCATGGGGTTGAGGCGAGCATCAGAGGAATGGCTGTATATGACAGAGCCTGACACACAGGAAAATCTCCAAGGCTTGGCTATTACTCAAATTCTTTGATAGTCCTTCCTTCAAGAGGGGGAAACCTAATTCTTCTCTCCTTGGGTATGAGCTGGACTTAGTGACTTGTTTCTAAGGAACAGAGAAAGGAAGATGTGACCTTGTGTGGGATCTGAGACATCTGAGGTTGTAAGCATCATGGTGGTTTTCCCCCCCCTCTTTCTTTCCAGGATCATTCACTGAAAGGACATCAGTTACCATGTTGTGAGGACACTCAAGCAGTGCGATGGAGAAGCCCACACGAGGGGGAACTCAGATTCCAGCCAACAGCTTGACTGTGACCTCCTGAGAAGACCCTGATCGAGCTCCACCCAGCTAAGCCACCCCCAGATTCCCAACCCTCAGAAACTGTAAGAAAATTAAAAATGTGTTGTTTTAAGCTGTTACATTTGGAGAGTGATTTGTTACACAGCAGGAGATAACTGATACACTTAGAAGCAATTGTCCCTGTCAGTTAAAAAAAAAAAAAAAAGGATCATCATAACATCATAGGGTTTGAGGTTTAATGTGATAAAGCCATAAAATCCTGCCTGGCAAAAATTATACTCAATATTATCAGTTATTATTGACATTGTGTCAATAATAAGTGGTCACAGCTACTGATTGGAGGCATGGTGCCAGCAGTGACTCAGTTAGAAGAGTCAGCAAGTCCATTTCAGGCAGGACCTTCCATTGAACATGAAAGAATTTAGACCGTCTCCGCAGGGCAATAAAAGAGATTTTAGTGAGGAAATAATGGTCACATTGGTATTTTACAACACTTGTGTTGTGTAGTATGGGTGTCATACAGGATGTGGTCATGGGTGGGGAGATGGAGAGAAGAAAGGTGTGATGACCTGGAGGAGGGCAAGGGCTGTGGAGACGAAGAGGAATTTAGGAGGCAGGAACAGCAGAATGGGGGGATGTCTGGATGTAGGTGGGGCGTCTGGGACCGAAGGAGGAATTGACCTTTGGAGGTAAGGTTTTTCAACCAAGTCCAGATTCCTCAGGGGGCCTGGGGGCGAGACGAAGTTGTGGATGAGTTTCCTGATGCTCCCAAAACAAATCGCCGTAAACATAGCGGCTTGAAACAACACAAATTTATTACATTACAGGTCTGGAGGCCAGCGTCCCAAATGAGTCTTAGCGGGGCTGAAATCAAGATGTCAGCAGGGTTGCGATCCTTCTGGAGGCTCTAAGGGAGACTCTATTCCTTGTCTTTTCCAGCTTCTGGAGAGAGCCGACATCCCTGGGCTCAAAGCCCCTTCCTCCATCTTCAAAGCCAGCAATGCAGTATCTCCAAAATCCCTCTCTCTCTTTCTCTCTCCCTCTCTCTCTCTCTCTCACACACACATTCACTCCATGGATGGATGGATAGATAGACAGATGGATAGATGGATAGATAGATAGATAGATAGATAGATAGACAGTAGATAGATAGATGATAGATAGATAGGCGATAGATAGATAGATAGATAGATAGATAGATGATAGATTTGTCTCATTCCCTCTGTCTGCAGTCTCTCTCCCTCTCTCTCTCCGTCTCCTTCTCTCTCTGACCCTCCTTCCACCCCCCTTTAAAAGGATTTTGTGATTACATTAGACCTACTCAGATCACCCAGAGTATTCTCCTGTCTCAAGACCCTTAACTTCATCACACCCGCAAAGTCCCTTTTGCGGTAGAAGGTCATATATTCACAGCCTCCAGGGACTAGGATGTGGCCAACCTGGCGGGGGTTGGGGGGAGCCTCATTATTCTACTGACCGCAGATGGGGTCTGGGATCCTGGTGAGTGATTGGGGGTGCAAGCTGCCAGTCACCCTTCAAACGCTAAAGAAGTGACCGAGGCTATGAAATCTGGATGGCAGAGATCCTCCGGGGATGAGGGCAGGTTTAGGGGGTGAAGAAAGGGAAGGAAATGCACAATTCTAGTAAAGTGGCTTGTGGAAGATGAACTATTGTGACTTTCCCGGCAAAGGGGAAATTGAGGGACACTCAAGACTACAGAAGTCAGTCTGGAGGAGCCCCAGAGACGTCACTCATCTGTACTTCCTTTTTCTTTATTGGAGTGTAGTTGCTTTACAATGTTGTGTTAGTTTCTGCCGTACAGCAAAGTGAATCAGTCATGCGTAT